ATGTATGAAAGTCCTTTAGATTTTGTTATAATAGCATTTGTTACCCTCTCTGTGAGGCATAATTTTAAACATTGGACAAGGATTATCTCATATAATCCTTAAAATTACTCTCTCATATAAATGTGGTTGTTTCCATTTTAATGACGAGGGAATTGAAGTGTTGGGGAAATAATCAAATTTCCTCCAGGTCACTTAGCTATTTAGTGATAGAGACAGACTGTCTAACCCAAATCATATTTCTCTGGAACCTGAATCAACCATGCTTGTCTAATAATTTATCCCCCCAAAATATTTGGATATATGTATCCAAGTATGTTTATTATAGTATTTATAAGAGCAAAAACTTAGTCCTAGCCGGTTTTTCTCAGTGGATAGAGCATCAGCCTGCAGACTGAATGGTCCTGGGTTTGATTCTGGTCAAGGGCACATATCTTGGTTGCAGGTTCCCTGGCCCTCGTCCAGGTGTGTGCAGTAGGCAACCAATCAATGTGTCTCCCCCCGTGTGGACACAAGATGGCCAGCAGGGGAGGGCAGTTGTGGGCAATCAGGTCTGCAGGGGAGGGCATTTGTGGGGGACCAGGCCAGCAGGGGAGGGCAGTTGGGGGGGACTAGGCTGGCAGGCAGGTGAGTGGTTAGAAGCCAGCGGTCCCAGATTGGTGAGCGGTTAGAAGCCAGCGGTCCCAGATTGTGAGAAGGATGTCCGACTGCCAGTTTAGACCCGAGGTGTCCCTGATTGGAGAGGGTGCAGGCTGGGCTGAGGGACACTAGTCTATAATAATAAAAGCATAATATGCAAATAGACCGAATGGTGGGTGTGAATCGATTGGTCAGGGAACCCCGCCATCACCCCACGATCACCCCACAGAGGGAGGCCCAGGCGGGTGTGAATCGATTGGTCAGGGAACCCCGCCATCACCCCACGATCACCCCACAGAGGGAGGCCCAGGCCACCGGCCGGCGGCAATTGCCCCAAAGAGGGAGGCCCAGGTACCCTCTGCGGGGCGATTGATCAGGGGGCTCCGCAATCAATTGCCCCAAAGAGGGAAGCCCAGATCACCGACCAGCGGGCTGCAGCGGGTGGGTGGGGCCTCTCTCTGCGGGGCGATCAATCACGGAGCCCCGGCCAGGTGAGCGGGGCCTCCCTCTGTGGGGCTATCAATTGCGGAGCCCTGCAATTGATCACCCCAAAGAGGGAGGCCCAGGCTACCCAGCAGGCGGCACTGCAGCCAGCACTGCAGCCAGGTGGGCGGGGCCTCCCTCTGCAGGGCAATCTATCACGGGGCTCCCGGACTGCAAGAGGTTGCAGGCTGGGCTGAGCCCTCCCCCCCCCGAGTGCACGAATTTCATGCACCGGGCCTTTAGTATTTATAATAAAAGCACAATTTAAAAAAATATGTGTACATAACAAGATAGAAAGACTGCATTAAAACATTGAGAATGGTTTTTTATTTGTGTTCTGGAAGCAAGATTATAGGCTTCTCTTTATCTTTTCAGTTTTCAAGTTTTCCTGCTTTAGACATATACACTAATAAAAGACAAAGATGCTAATTGACTGTAGCTTCGCTACACCCATCAGCCAATCAGAAGAGTATGCAAATTAACTCAACAAAGATGGGCATTAAATTTGCATACTGCAGGCGGGGCAGGATAGCGCGATCCGCCGCCCGCCGGCCACCATCCTGGCCTCCCTTGAGCAACTGGGGGCGGCAGGGCGATCCGCCACCCCGCTGCCATCCGGGCCTCCCAGGAGGGCCTGCTCCCAGGTTGCCATGCTGATCCGTGAGTGGTGATCTGTGAGCAGGAAAGCGCTGCCCACAGGCACCCAGCAGGGCCAGCTCTCGGGTCACTGTGGCGATCCCCGAGTAGGAAAGTGCTGCCTACAGGCAGCACCCAGGAGGGCCTGCTCCTGGGTCGCCATGGTGATCCGTGAGCAGGAAAGTGCAGCCTGCAGGCAGCACCCAGCAGGGCCTGCCCCTGTGTCTCCACAGCGATCCGTGAGCAGGAAAGCGTGGCCTGCAGGCAGCACCCCACCCTGGCCACAGCTCAAGGGAGAGAACAACACACAGTGGAGTCCAGGAACCTGAGAGATCAACACAGAGGGGCACCTGCTCCAAGCCTCCACGATGTGGCTGGGGGCAGGCTGCCAACAGACACAGACACATGCACACACACACACACACACACACACACACAGGGCGACTGCTCTAAGCCTCCTACATAGCTGGGGGCAGGCCCCCAGCGGGGACACACACACACACACACACACACACACACACACACACACACACTGCGACTGCTCTGAGCCTCCAATGTGGCTGGGGGCAGGCCCCCCATGGGTACACACACACACACACACACACACAGAGAACTGCTCTGAGCCTCCAATGTGGCTGGGGGCAGGCCCCCAATGGGTACACACACACACACACACACACACACACACACAGGGCGACTGCTCTAAACCTCCTAT